CGTCCCCCCACGAGATGGAGTGACGACCTGGTAAGACATGCAGGCAGTCGATGGATGCAGGTGACTCAGGACCGTGCTTTGTGGCATTCTTTGGGGGAGGCCTATGTTCAGCAGTGGACTTGTGAAGGGCTGTAATGATGATGATGATGATGATGATGACGTTATAATAACTTAAGAAAATGATCCTTTAACTTACACTTAATGTTATTTTTATTGATATTATCCAACAATTCTGATGGCATATTATTGATAAGCCGAGGTATTAAGTAGCTACATGTCCGCTCACCGTACGTATTGCAAGCACGTGGCTCGATGAGACGGTTCTTAGAAATTGCTCGAGTGTAAACAGGTGCTCGATCGGTTTTCTTAGCGATTAATTAAAAAATTGTTCTTTTAATAAAATGTTTAATACTTGTATATGTATTGGTAAAATTTTACAGTGTTTGAAAAGATCACTGACGTCATCGCGGAATTTATTTTTTATTTTATTTGGAACTATGATTTTAAGTATTCTTGCTTGTAAATTATAGATCTGGTCAAGATATGTTTTGTAAGTTCGGCCGTAGCTACTTAGCCCGTATTGAATGTGCGACTCCGCAAGTGCATTATATAACTTTAACTTTATTTTCAATGGAATGCGATTATTGAGAATAGTGATATTTGCTAGAAACTGTCTTAGTTTAGTACATACATGTTCAATATGCTGTCTCTAATTAAAGTTACTGTCAATAACTAGTCCGAGATATGTTTGTGTATCAACTATTTCAATTTGTGGGCAGCAACATTCAGTAGCGCTGTTATTATGTAGGCAGATGTGATTATGTGCGACTAATTTTTTAATTGCAGTGGGTTTTAGGTATGGAGATTTGATTACTAACAACTTAGTTTTGCTGGCATTAAGGACGAGCCCAGCATCATGGCACCATCTTGTTAGGACATCTAGGTCAGACTGTAAAAGGTCACAAGCCTTTTGTGGATTTTTGTCACCAATTACAAGGCAAATGTCATCAGCAAACTGGTAGCACGTGCAATTGACGATGCAGCTTCCCATGTCATTGACGTAGGATAAAAAATGCAAGGGTCCTAGTACCGAACCTTGTGCCGTACCCTCCGTCATCAACATAGGCTTGCTGTAGTTATTTTCAATCTTCACAAAAGATTTTCGGTTCTTCAAGTAGTTACGGCACCAGTTAAGCAATGGACCACGTACACCACATTTGTCTAATCTGTCCACAAGCTGTTCATGTAACATGGTGTCAAAAGCACGTGAGAAGTCAATAAATAGGGCAAGCACCTGTCTTTTTTCATTTAGGTCACTATTGACACCATCAGTGAATTTTGATAAAAGACCTGTTGTACTTTTTCCTGATTGGAAACCAAACTGATACGGACTTATTACAGAGTTATTCGTATAAAATTTGTGTATTTGCTCGCCTATGAATTTTTCCACAATTTTATCAATTGACGAAAGTAATGTAATTGGGCGATAATTTAAGTAGTCATCACGTTTTTCTTTCTTATGCACAAGTCTGACACAGGCTTATTTCAATTGATCAGGATACAAACCATTTTTAATGCTACTACTGTTGATTAGGTCAGAAATGGTTGGGGAAATATATTCCCCTATCATTTTAATATCAGAAATCGCAATATTGTCAGCACCTGGCGCCTTTCTTGTGTTTAAGTTTTTAATAATTTTATGAACACTACTGGGGGTCGCTTTCCGAAATAGGATACTGGAGTCTAAGATTTTAGATGTATTATTTTTGTTCATTAATTTTATTTTACAATTTGGAATTATACTTTTTATCGCTCTGTCGAAGCTATTTGCGAAGTTATCTGCAATAGTTTTGGAGGTAAGTCCCTGAGCATCAATCGCCTTGAGTATAGGCGCATCAATAGACAAGGTCATTCTCCCTAACATTTGATTTACAACATTATAATTTTTTTTAATATTCTTAAAATTATTATTTATTTGCTTTATATAATATGTATTCTTTTTGATTTCAAGAACTTTATGTACTTTATTGCGTATTTTATTATATTCTAGTCTTAGTTTTGAGTTATTTGGATTATATTTCCAATTACGATATAATTCGCCCCTTTTATCACAAAGACGAGTAATATTGTCATCAATCCAAGGCAAATTAAACTGTTTAGAGGTCTTTTTATTTCATTTATAGGTTTTGATGTTAGTTGCGGAATTTTTTGCGGTCTGAAAAGAATTATATATAAAATTTAGAATCTCGTCTGGGGAATTCATATCTTTAGACTGACCAATCCACATTTTTAAGTTCCTTATAAAAAATCTCGTAATCAATCAGTCGTTTTGTTACATCCTGTAAACGCGTGAGCATTATAGGTGCGTCATCAACGCACGCAAAGATAATACCTCGATGATCGGCCAGTACAACATCGAGCACCGCCGAGAACGAATGTAAGGTGGGGAATCGGGCAAAAATGTGGTCTAAGCAAGATTTAGTAATTAAATTTTGCCTAGTTTCACATCTTGTGTATTCCGATATTCCACACATCAATCCGTGCTCGCTGAGTGCTCCTACATAAACATCCTTGTATGAGGTTGGAGTTTTTATATCTATGTTAGTGTCACCGATTAAAAGGAAGTTGTGTTCCAATTTAAACTTAGAAATGTACTTGCTTATTTCACTTACAAACAGTTTTTTATTTGTAGATGGTGGTCTATAAACTGCACACACAACTATATTTAGTGACGAGTTTAGTTTTATTATGCCCGAGAGACTTTCAAACGTTTCAGTTTTGTGTTGAATTGTAGTAAATTTTAGATGGTTTCGTACGTAAATTATAATTCCGCCTCCCTTCTTATTTTCACGTAGTTGTGCATGCAAACTATAGCCCGGTAATGTGTATAAATTAACAATATTGTTCGAGATACCTGCCTCCGTTATAACTATTACATCTAGTGGATAGCTACAGTTGTGGATTAGTTGTTGCAGTTTAGTAGTTTTTTATAAGTGACCTAATATTAAAGTGAATACATGAAAATTTCATAAAACTTTTAGGAGGCAACTGTTGAAATAATTGATTAGGAATTTTACAATTAAGAATTTCATTTATTTGTGTATCGATCTTACTTAAATTTATTGACTTATGAATAAAAAATATAGGTATAAATGAGAACTTTACAATATTGTGGATGAGGATGTCCCGGGTTGTTTATCAGAAAGAGATGAACTTTGTTTTACAATTTGATTTATATCATGCATACTGCGAATATAATAAATTTTACTGTTGTCAGTTTTTCGAGCACATACCTTTCCATTTTTACACCAAACATACTTACACGACTTATTTAATAGCTGTGAATTAGCATTAAATAGAAGTGTTTTCTGGTACTTTGTTAGGGCTTCTCTTATAAAAATACGTTCATCAGCCTTCTCCTTTAGAACGTTCGGCACTATCATCCCTGCGGTAAGACACTTGTCCTTGCCAGCATCTATCCACTGTTGCTGCAAGACTTTAGACTTCAGCTCCACAAGAACTGATCCCGGTTTGTCCTTTGATCCTTGCAACCGTTGAGCTGACTGCACATCCTTCTTATCAACGTCCAATTTAGCGGCAACAGTTTCAATTATTGTATTTACCTCGCTGGGCATTTCCACTGGTAACCCGGTAATTTCCAACGAGTTAGAGAGAGTCTTTTGTTCAAAGTCTCTAAGCCCCTGTTCTAAAGCAGTTACCCTCAGTTCTAAATTCTTGTTTTTGTTCACTAAGTCATAATTCTTATTTTCAAGTTCTTTAATTCTAGTGTCCTGTTTTTTTATAGATTGCTCCATAGTGGAAAGTTGTTCACTTAGAAAATTAAGTGAGTTCTCAAGATTCCCGATCTCCTCACGAAAAGTTTTTTTTACCTCGCGACTGATGTCTTGTACCAATTTTCTCGCATCTATAACTTGAGCGTTTCCCGTATTTCTAGGGTCGCAGTCCTCATCATCGCCATCATCGTCGGGTATCACGAACGATGACCTACGAGAAATGTTGCTTAGGCACTCTTCACAACTCCACTCTATACCAGACGAATTCTTGATGGTGTTTAGCTGTTTGTTGGATAGCTTTGAACAGGCAGGATCCGCATGAACTATTAGATCGCATCTACTACACTCTATTCCAGACACTTTTTTAGTGATGTTTTTCTTACATTTACCACACTTTTTTACAACCATTTTAGTTTTCGGGTACCTAGGTACAACTTTTATCGTTAATCGCACGCGTCTCTTCGCAATGGTGTCAACTTGTAAACTGATTATTAAGCTAACATCAAACAACCACAGGAAGCATGACTTTTTCCAAGTGACATAGGACATAACCTAAAAAGCTTCAAATGTAAATATCTCTTTTTTTGACGCCTTCTTAGTACAAAATTCTTTGACAGAGTTATTAAGGGACTGACGCTTAACATTTTAAGATATTTTTGGTATATAGACGCTACCATTTCTTCTCAACTAATTTTATGTATGAAAGTCTGCCATTGCTCTTTAAATTATATGATGATACAGTAAATTGATGATGGCAAATGAACGCGTTACGGAAATTAAGTTAAATAGTGCAAATATATTAATTGTTTTAGATTTCTGTAAAATATTAGAGGCATTTTTAAAACAATCTGAGTTAAATCATAAATGTCAAACATAATTAGACTGGAAGCTGCAGTTTGACACAATGGTTAAAAAATTATTAGTCGCGGAAGAACCGAAAGAACATTATTTAAACATGCTCTGTGCGAAAACAAGCGGTTTAAGCATTTTTAGAGATTCTTGGTTTGCATGCGATATAGATAATTAAATAACATTTCATTAGCCACCAATCTAGTTCAATCAATCCTATCCTGTCTACAGTCTACATAAATCACTTACCAATCAAGTGGACTGTGAGTTCGATAGTTACTTTAATTTTATATAAAAATATTTATTAACAAAAAAAATATTATTGTTATTGTTTTTTTTTTGATAAAATAACCATACCTCCAAAGGCACGGGCCGAACGGAAGGTCTGAAGTTGTATAATCCGATTTCGCCAATATTCAACCAGTTCGCGAGGTCCTTAGCGTTTGCCAATGCCGTCGACAAGCCGATTATACGAAGCCTTCTTGATGTGTGTGATTCTATAAAGTTCGTTCTGAAAGAAAATACATGTTAGTTTTAGTTAATGAAATAAAAAGAAAACCTTTTTAAATGAAACAGATAATGACGTTTTTATAACCTCGTGGCTATTCGATTTTATACTACATAAAAATATTTAAAAAATCTTAAAAATTTTGTGCTAATGCAAAGTAAATCATTATTATTTTTGCAAGAAAACACTCGTTATATCTATATAAATAAAATGATAGATCTAGGATATGATCACAAACTGCAGACTTCCCGGAACGTTGGTGCTTCATGTGATCATATCCTAGACGGCCCCCGTCATTACATTAGATTTGATAAACCACAAGTCCTCGCGAAAGAACATCGAATCCTGCCAAGGATGATACGTGAGGCTATTGAAATTAAAAAACATCCTAATTTCAATAGAGAGGGAGGCTGGGTACTACCACCTGCTTGGGATCCTGTAATTCATAAAATTAAAACTAAACCCAAGCATACCACTGTAAGACTTCAAGACACAGTTAGTTCATTCTGCGTAGATCGGACCAAAATTAATAATTAAAAAGCTGAAGGTACTCCGGGTTAACTTTGACATCGGGACGTCAATCACCTCAGTCCCCCGTGACCACGGTTGCTGGAAAGCAACCGAAACGTCGGGAATATAAAATAAGTAAATTAAACGCGATAAAATCCGTAAAAATAGTTTTATTCAATGTGTAGTGTTCGCGTAAATATAAGAAATCAATATGGAATTTGGTTCATATATAATTCAATATAATAAAAATACTCCTGAAAACTTTATTAGATGTTGATAATCGAATTATCTTACCTGTAAATAATCTAATTCGAACTGCTACTGATGTAATTCATTCATGAACTATTCCATAATTAGGAGTAAAAGTAGATGCTAATCCTGGTCGATTAAATCAAACTAGCTATTTTAATAATCGACCAGGAATTTTTTTGGCATTGACCAAAAAAATTCCTGGTCGATTATTAAAATATCCAGTTCGATTTAATCGACTCAGAAATTTGTGGAGATAATCATAGTTTTATACCTATTGTAATTCAAAGAATCTCTATTAAAATTTTTATTAATTTTCATTTAATTTAATTTTAAATTAATTTAATTTTCAGTCATCTAATGACTGAAAGCACGTACGTACATATACGTAGGCCGAACCCCTCTTGCAGCAGGCATATTAATGTTAATATAATGCCCTCCAGGCCGGATATCGATCACTACGGCCAGTCTCGAGTCCTAGTTAAACATTTTCAATTACCTTGACACTATGACTTCAAGGACTGGTCCTCTATCCTCTCCCAACAGATGTATTTCGTCAATGACGATTAGAGCGACGTCACGCACATAATTCCTGGTCTGCCAAGAACGACTGATTCCGTCCCATTTTTCAGGTGTCGTCACGATCACTTGAGAGTTCCTGATCGCACGGATATCAGGCGATACATCACCTTAAATATAATTTTTAGGCATTATATATCCACTTATTTCATTATATATTCTATAAATTTATAAACAGGATTTGTTTTAGGTTCGTCCACTTTTTTAAAGATTTTTTTAAAGAAATTAACGAATTTACTAGCATCATGCAACCCTGAAAAATTATTGAGTACTGCTTTCATACACGTAACTATTTACAAATTCAAATTTTTCCCACACAAACTTTTACAATGCTCTGTTGAAATACAGGAAAAGGGATATTAACATACACATAATATTTTAGCAAAAAATAATGTTACAAAACAGAGTTCATTAAATTCTTGTAAATGACAGTAAAAGTAAAACAATAGCAACTTCATCTCTCTTCTAAATTCTTTACACCTACCTGTTAGCTCCACTACGTTTTTGCCAAGTTTCTCTTGCAGCCGTATCTTCCAATCCTTAATTCTTTCTTTGACTAGAGCTTTTAGTGGCGCAATATAAACGACCTAAAACAATATCATGTGATACAGAATGGCAAGATCAGATGTACGATTTTAGCACAGGAGTGAGAAAAAAATACTGAGATAGGCTCTCATTTAATCGGACTATTATTTAAAGTATATTCAAAGTTACTTTCATCATAGGTATACTAAAATTTTACATACGAACTCAATGCAAATATACGCTTTTTAATTAGGTGAACGAGTTTACACATTAAACATAGGCTTCACTGAAGAATCACACTTAATCTTTAAGCCAAGATAAATGACAAATTTTTAAAATTGTAATCACAAACAACAGTAATTAATTTTTATGTAGAAAGTATTTAATAAAATTTTTATTGCATTAAAAACTACATCTAATCAGGGAGATTAGATGTAGTTACGCAAAAAGAAATTAACAACACTCAGTTCAAAAATGGGTTAAGTTTGCTAAACGAACAATCCTTACGTGAAAACACTTTCGAAAAAAAAACGAAGTCAAAATTAAAGTTAAGCTAACTTTAATTTTGACTTATTGTGTAATTATGTCAATAATTGAAAAAACAATTTCCCTATATTTATTATTCACATAAATGAAATATATATATCTCTGTGATTTCTGTATTTTTTAGTTTTCCTCTTCTTACAAGCCAAAAAATAGTTTTAAAAATTTGTGTTTAGTAGTGTTGTGTTAATTATATTGTTATAGTGTCGAATGGAATAATTAAATAATAATAATAAAAAAATAAGTTCGATTTGAATTAACTATAAAATTTAAGGATGTGGACGCAGTTCATGGTCAGGTATCAAATAAAATTGATTATTTACCTTACAGCTGGGATACTGGTTAAAAACTCTAAACATGGCAACTTCAGCGACAATGGTCTTGCCGGAACCAGTCGGTGCTCCCAATAGTACGTTGCTGTCGGTGTGGTACAAACAGTGAAATATTTGCGTTTGAATCGGGTTGAAATGTGTGAAGTTGTATAGCATTTCGTAAGAGGGGTTGTTCAGCGCCGTCACCGGTAGAGGTTGGAGTTCTAACAAGTCTGAAACGATTAATATGATTTCTAACGTGAAGCTATTTTACAAAGTAACACAAGGCTATAAAATAAATAATTTAGTTCTGGGCAACGGCCATAGATTAAGCACGAACCAATAAATATGTAACTAATCTGTAAAAATTACGATATAAAAAAAATTCAACACATTTTCGCAGGTCGAGGCCGCGGGTTCGAATCCCGCGCGGAAAGTATTCGTATGGTCTACAAATAATTGTTCCGGGTCTGTGTGTCCTTGTGCAAATTATATAAACCGCGTACATATAGCAAAATATATAGTACGCCAACTATATAAAAAAAACAGGTGGTAGAGTTCTTTTTCTGCCTAGGAGTCCGTAGGTAGGTAGTACCGTAGGTACCATTCTCTTACTATATTGTATCGCCTAAAATGAAGCAACAACGCATCTGTGCCTTTCTATGTTGGCAGTTAGCAGTTGGTAATACCAACTTGGTGTTAATAGAATGAAGTAGTTACTCGTAATAGTCTACACTACGTAGTATAAGTAGCGGCGCGAAAGTCTAGCGGTGACTGTTACTCCAACTAATGCTGCAAGCTGTTTTTTCTTTAGCCGGGCATCTTTCGATACAAGTTTATTAGATATTCAATTTTCTCCATAGTGTTTTCTAGTTTCTTCCCGATTGACTTGTTTACTCGTTGATAACTCAAAAGCTAATGACCCGATTAGTTTTTTTTTGCGACCAGAAGCAATTGAAAGGGCTACCCTTCGGAAAGCGAGGAAGGGAGGTGGTGAATGCTCTAAGCATACCACGACAGCCGGCTGTCGTGTTTATGTGGGACTCACTGCGACTAACCTAACCTAAACTAAGTGCCTACCCACTAAACACCACCTGTGAGACTGGCATTAGCTTATGAGGCCTTTCTGCCGAATCGGAAGCAACTCTCTTTAGAAAAAAGGGGGCGCAGGGACCCGATTAGGCTGAAGCTTGGTATATATACTAACAATGAGTCACTTAACTAGCGGCTACCTGGATGAGTAAACTCACCCTCGCCTACCCCGCCATTCCGCGAACTTTTTGACCTCCCCTTGTAGAGTTCATAGCTATTGTCTTACTATTGTGTCCGAAAATCGGACAGAGAAAGTGTTAAGATAACCAAGCATTTTTTTTAAATTTCAAAGTTTTTCACATAAAATATAGCCTAGATCTCTTGGCATTTTTCACTATCTGTTTGTAAGTTTTATTGCAATCGGTTCAGCCAGAGTACTAAGAGTTCAGAGAGACAGACAAACAGGCACATCAATTGTCACGTTATTGATTTTAAATCTACCAGATTATATTTTACTTATTAATTAAACTTACCAGTGTGAGGAGGATGGGTTTCAGGTAAAATCAAATGTTGAAACGTTAAAGGCAACACACTTTCGGAGCCTAACCATCTGCAAACATAATATTAATTCATTTTATTTAATCGTAAACAAGAATGACAATTTTACATTATAACGGAATGATATTTTAATTAAAAATTTTGAACTGCTTAGGATTCCAAAAACTATGAAACAAACATGTTTTCTAAAATATTTTAAATTAATGCATTGTTTTATTTAGCATTTTGTTAGATAGTTCGTCGCTAGTTGGTGACATTGACGAGACATAATAATATTATCAATATAAAAGAATGGAAAAATGCTAAAATGCAATTTCTGTTCTACATTTATTTATTTATTCCCTGAAAAGTTATTGATTTTTTTTAAATGTTTGATTAGATGAGTACTAACCAAGAATAGTATAACATAAGGATCAAAAAAAGTTTCTTAAATGTAATAAATAAGAATATGCATGAAAAGGTTAACTTTTTGTCCTTTACTTATTTTAAAAATAATTATAAAGTAAGAAATTAGCGAAATAGCATAAAATTATATACAGTCCGTACTAGCTATTCCGTGTCAGATGGAGCTGCAAGAGCCACATAGGCTAACAGCACAAACATCAAAGAAAATAGATGGATAAAGAATGGGATTAGTAATAGCGGCTCATCGAGCATGTACCGTCAACATGCACAGTACCAATAACGAAAATCCGCTAATAATGGTGTATTATAACGTTATATTATTTGGTTAATTGGAATTTTGTTAAAATGGGAAAATATTTGAAAAGAATTGTATACCCAAGTAGGTATATTAATTTTAAAATAATATTTATAACTAGCAACCCTGCTTTGGCTTTGCCTAGGAGAGATCTATTAATGTGGCGTTTTATAACGTCTATATCTATTATGGCGTCTGTATAACCATTTACCTACATATATAAGAGTCTAAGAGCCTTCACATGTTTAAGAAACAGCTAAACATATTTTTAACCAAAAAAGAGTATTATAATATTGACGATTATGTGTTTTACAATTTTTAAATTTTAACTATTAAATTTATTGAATGAAACACACAACGTTATCTATGTTATTAATTTTGAGACATAATAATTTATACTCGTTTTGATATTATTATTTTGACATTACAATTTTAATTATTACATTTATTATATTATTATTTTGTGAATTATTATTATGTTAGTAGTGCAAATATACAAATAGGGTTATATTATGTTAATGTAATTATCAGAATTTTCCATTGTAATTATAAATAAAATGTTGTATTTAAGTAGTTTGCACACCGGAAGGTAGAATATGGCTGTATTTTTGTTAAATTATTAAGACCTATTGTAACCCATATATCGTGAATAAAATGAATTTGAATTTATAGACATAAGATGATATATAAAAATTTAATTAACATTAAATGATATATTAAAAGTTATTTATTTTATCTTATCTCTCTATAACATTTAGTTTGAATCACTCTTGGTATTTGTTCGTGAAGTTTTAATATAATTGGTTCGGACATTCCTCGGACCGATTATATTAAAAACGGACCAACACACAAACGAAAATTTTAGAAATGGTTAGTACACACGATTCAATAGCACGTAAATATTTTATATAAAAATATTAACATACAAAATCAACAATAATTATGAAAAAAAAAACACTATCAGAATGCATCGTAGCTCACAAATTACCGACACAAGACTGATTTCTTTTTGTAATTTATGGATTTTCGTCATTATTGATTTGAGTTCGACTGAAGTTATATAACGCATGGAAAACGTATATCGCAACGTATCTTTTTTGTAGTCTTTACCAGCGGGTGTGAGTATAGATAGCGATAGTGTGCGAGAGAGAGGTGAATAGAGGCGACGCCATTTTCAATCCCATTCTTTAACCGCACAGTTAGTAGGTATGTCAAGAGGCTGCTAATTACTTACGGTATTTAAAGGTTTGTTAGTTTACAATTTTTAATAAGATTTATTTAAAAAAATATATTACCTTTCGGAAGTCGCCCTGATGTAATACTGAGGAGGAAGGGGTTCAGATATAGGAATAGTTATGATTAATTCCTGTGGTTCCTTGGTTATAACCTAAGAATAAAAAAATAACCTAAAAATAAATCATATAAGAAAATACGAGAAGTGAATTTTGAATAAATTACAGTTATTTTGTTCCTTAGGTGCGACAACGGATACGTTTTAGAGCAGGCTTTGTTTGGAATAAGTTAGTTGGTTTGCAGCGGCCAAATGGTAAAGGGGAACTGTACGCGGGGGAGAGAGAGAGAGAGAGAAAAAAAAGGGAGAGGGGTTATCGTTAGATTTAAAATGTAAAATTATGAACCCGCGAATTAGTCGTCATCTAGTTTACGCCAAAGTAAAAACTCAGACCGGCGACGGGGAGCAGCATTAAAGGTGCGAGATGTGGTGCTGTGATCGCCAATCCGCTGGCGAAATATGGCGATTAAGACAAATCCTTCATAATGTAAGAAAACCTGTCCTCCACAGTGTCAAGCAGTGTACTTTTAAGACCTGGTGAAGAAGAAGGAGAGGTTTATTTTCAGTAAAGGATTGTTAGGGCTGATGATATATGATATGATTAGGGTGTTTGAATTGAATATTAATTCACGACGGGGATTAAAATTTACTAACGGACTTCCGATGATAAAAGCTCGAGTAAACGATAAAATAACTACATGAAATTTAAAGAACGAAATTTCTTACTTGCTTTTTAGTGATGAGGAAGTACTCGTGATAATACATAATATCTGTATCGGGATCTTCGACCCAAATCCAAAAGGCTTCGGGAGCTTTGCCATGGTACTTGTCATTCCATCTGAGCAAAAATAATTTAAGTTCCTAAGAGAAAACTAACGAACTTTCAAGAAATAAATCAATGACCTGAATATAAATTGTTTCAAATCAATTACCACTTTTTTCACTTTTGAAATAATTTAAATAAACTAGCAACCACGTCAACTAAAAGTTCCTCCAGAACATTATCAAACGAAAATGAACTTTAAATTTAAATATAGGGCTTAATTTTAACGTGATAGCTTAGTTAGTTTTTTATTTTAGTCATTACGTGGAATAATATTTGAAATACTAATATTACGTTTTTTAAAACATTACGTAAAATCAAGTTTGATTAGGTTTTACGGCTTTACTCATGAAATTGACGTAAAATTAGAAAATGACTAATACTGATTCCTCTTTTGACTAAACGTCTATAGAAAGAGACAGGTACAGAGATAATCTAAACCTCATTGAATAAAGTGATATAATTTAGTTGTTTGTAATATGCTTTTTATTTATTTTATTAATCAATAACAGGCATATCCGATGTTATTTACTCATTTTGTTACACGGAGACATTGTAGTACGTATCTAAGCATAATAATAATATGCGGTTCGTGTATAATTCATAACTGATATTATTATAGTCTATTTTTTTATAAATTTGTAAAAAATATAGACGTAAGAAAATAAAGACATAAAATAACGAATTTGATTAACATTTTGAATTATCTTCCAATTTACTTCATCGGTTTGTGACATGTTATATTATTGTCTATAAATTTCGGTTAATTCTTTTAGTAATCAATGACATTTTACTTGAAATTGGGCGTGATAGTGAGCCGTATTCGGAGCACGGTCCTAGTGATGGGGTGTAAGCTGGCTTCCATTTCCAATAGCGGGAACTCATCGGCGCACTTTTTCATATGACGCGCCGTTTTTGGATTTCGTATGAGATCACCTATGGATGGGAGAATTTTAGGGTTTTCACGATATATATAAAATATACAAATACATAATTTTATTTAAAGAGAATTATTAAGAACACCACCTAGCTCTTTCCAATCCATGTCTCTGATCTGATCGGGTTTCAGCATCGGATATTCAATATGCTTGAGAATCTCGTTGGGAAAACAGTTGAACTGTCGCATGTCGCTGTAGAAGTCCCACTGCTGGAGTTCGAGCATTTTGGCCATCTTCAGATACAGGCCGGCCATGTACGCATTGTTTTTGCGAAGGGTTATTTCGAAGAGAGCTCGCACAATACGCACGGCGTTCTACGAATGAAAAACATAAAAACATTTTGATGACAATAAAAAGGAAATAACACTTTTTAATAGAAGTGAGGAGGGTGACATACGGGCACAAAATACGGATGCTAAGTACATGTGCTGTGGCCCCAAACATCTTCATTTATTCTTAATTAAGAATCAAAAGCACGTGCTCCGCGGTGAAGGAAAACATCGTGAGGAAACCCGCATGTCTGAGAAATAATAAAAAATATTTCGAAGTCATGTCAAGTTCGCCAACACGCATCGGGGCAGCGCGGACGACATTTCGTTGCTCTAAAACCCTCTCAGAAATGAGAGATGGCCTATGCCCAGCGTACATATATAGGCTGTAACTTTAACTTTTTTAACTTTTAAGAATCAAAATGCTGTTGTTAACGCGAGGAGTGATACCAGTAAAATAATTCATCGGTACCAGTAAAATAGTCCCTTCTCTATGGTGTCTGGTACTGCCAGAGAATCCAACGTCATATTATTACAAAAAAAGCGATTAGGTGGCACCTGTAACACGATGAGCATAACTATTTCTTGTACATTAATCACCAGTCCACCCATTAAATCCTAGCAATTACATTCAATCCTCTCTACTATGAAAGACAACAATGTCCAGCAATGGGCTTCTTGTAGACTTATAACGATAGATTCGATATAATAATAATATAGTTGATTGCAGTTTTGAGTGCTGCAGAATAGTTTATTGCAATTTAAGTGATGATTTATCACCTGCTCGGCGATTAAGGAAAACGTCGTGAGGTATAATCTGCGTATCTGAGAAATTAAATATTTCATGAACATGTGAAGTGCGCAATCACACACTGAAACAGCGCCGCTGACTAATTCCTCCCCACAACCCTCTAAGAAGCGGGAGAAGGTCTGTGAACATTGAGACGTATATAGAGTATAACTATTTTTTAAAGTACCTGACTTATATAGTTCAAATCCGATTGAAGCGACGATCCATTGACGCGACCCCGAGAAAGGTAAGTTTGCAATAGAATATTGATCTTCCAATGAATGTCTTCAGGCGCGTCTTCTATGCGGAGCTCGCAATACTGATCTTTGAGGTTCCAAAGTTCTGTCAATTCTTCTTTTCTAACCTGGAGGAAAAAATAAAGCATTAAGGTGACACTAGTCGACATTATTTCCATAGAAATTTCGGAGGGGTTTTACTCCGCTGTTTGACAGTGTACATCCAAAATTAAACATGATATCGTTTTGTCTCATTATTAAATTTGTCTGTACGGAAACAGAATAGTAAAATAAAATGTTATTAAAAAGTTACGAGCTACCAAAGATTCGTTTTTATTGCCAATTTTAACACAACTTTGGGCGTAAATTAGTAATAAAAGAAGTGTAAAATTTCCAAAACAAAGTCGGTACCGACACAGGTAAATTATCGAAGAACTCAATAAATTTTATTTGTAATTGATTAATGCAGTGGTTTTTTCATAAAACCCCTTCTTCCAAAGGCCTTTTCGTATTTTTTTACGCGCGCATATTACTATGAATTATCGTGCATCTCACTGAATAATGTCTCCCCCGGTGCGGTGCGGGAGGACGATGCTTACACACACATGCACAGGCGGTGACGCGCGCTTATAAGTATTCGAGTTTTATTCGAAACGAAAAGTTTTGCTATTTTGTAATTTGGACGCCAAAGACAAAAGACGGCATGGAAATTGATATAATTGAAAGAGATGATGCGTTTTGGACGACAGACAATATTTTAAAATTTTCGTCTGTAATATAATATAATTATAAAAGTAAAAAAAGTAAAGTCTATATTCGATTACTATATAAAATTGCAACAATTTCATTGGTGCCGACGGGGATCGAACCCGGGTTGCTCGCGTAATGTGATACTTACAGCGAGCGCTAACCATCTGAGCTACCACGGCTCTCAATGCAAGTGTTATAAATAAATAAAGAATTACAAAACAGTTTAATTATTTATTAGACGACTTTTGCGGCGGATAAACAAAGTATATTATGTGGGATTTTCATAGGTACCTACTGTTATTACCTAGATACCTACAATCAACAATACAACAAAATGTCACAAAACCTCGCCGCGTCGTGGCCACAAAATTGTAAACTTTAGGTAGGTACGTCGGTACTAAGAAAACAATCTTGATGGGTCACTTGTCTTGATAAAAACCTGTGTTTACGTTTAGTGATATTGAGTATATATAAAAAAATAAGAAGCCAGGTAAGTAAGTATTTTTGAAAACAATTTATAGGTAGGCAGACCAATTACGATTATTATCTAAATATTATAAATGCGAAAGTTGGGATATTTGGATGGACGGATGAATGGATGTATGTTACTCAATCACGCCAGAACGGCTGAAGGGATCTGGATGATATTTTGCTCAGAGATAGGCTATAGTCCGAAATTTTTTTTTCAAAAAAACTTTACCCCACACTAGGATTTTCTCCTGTATCGTGGAGGCAGTTTACAAACATCCAGACCCGGAACAATTATTTGTAGACCATACAAATACTTGTTCGATTGATTCGAACCCGCGGCTCCCAGTACAACAATTCATTGCTAAGCCACTGCGCCACGGAGCTGCCAAATATCATATATGATACCGTTTATTCAGATATTTCGTTGCCGTGGGATAATTATCGAGTTACACACGTTCGAAGCCGAACTCTTGAGTGATTGCTGCATGACCACTCGGGGAAAACTAAACATAATAAAATAAGCAATCTATATTAGGTATATAGAGCCACAGACGTATACCTAATAATTTCGTGGATTCACCCGCGTCATCACGTGTCCGAGATGCGTGGCATGACATGACACCTAGTTCCAGCATTTTATAATTGCAATCAAATATTTTATTTGATTGTAATATATGGAAAAATTGTCATGATTAATGGAGTACTTTTATTTTATCTGTCGGCATATTATGCGCGGTTTTTTCCAGTTTTAAAGAAAAACGTACACGATTCATGAAAAGTGTGTTGGCAAGAAATGATTCTTGATAAATTTGCTATCAACCTCTTATACTTATTAATTAATTAAATTTAAACTTTCAAAATACCATAGCAACGTGAAATTAAAGAGTTCAGAAATAAAGATGTAACTAATCATTCATACGGTCACCCGGGAGATAGATAAAAGTACTCAATTAATTTTGAATTTATTTTAGCTACTAGCTGTACCCCGCGACTTCGTCCGCGTTTAGTTTAGGGCGTTAATATTGTTGCAAAGACACCTAATAATTTTTCTAAAATTTAAGCAGGCTAAGTTACTTCTTATAACATGAGCTATCTAATAGTGAAAGTCCCGCCCAAGTCGGTCCAGCCGTTTTGGAAATTAACCGCAACAAACAGACTGACAGACATACAAAAATGTTAAAAATTGTGTTAATGTTATAAGTACCGTATACAGTTTCATACGCAATTAGTAAAAAGCTGTTATTTTGACATTATAACAGACACTTCAATTTTATTTATTTGTGTATATATAGATAACGATTGAACTAACGGCTAACCTAACCTCGCTCATAGAAGCTTTCAATACTGGCTTCTCAGTTCGCACCGGGCTAGGGGTTATGCGTTGTTTGCGCGTCAAGCCAAGTAGGTATTGAATTATTTTAATTTTACATTATTTCTTAAACTATGTACTATATAAACATGGTATAAAGAACGAAGTTTATCTTCATAAAATTGTCTTGATAATGAAGTAACTTTGGTTCGTAAGGTGCCTAATAATTAAATTTTCATTTTTTTGTCACAAAATGCCTAATTGTGGCTTATATATAAGAAATAGACATATGGTATCGCGGACTTTTTTTAGACGGAGTAAAGATCTATATTTTTCTAGAACATTGTATTTACGTATCCCGAACCATAACAGCGCTTTTTCTTCTGACTTCCTATATATAGCCTAATGCTGTATAGCCTATACTATTCAACATGAATCTGGCTATAATATCCAAAAAAAGATTTTTCAAATCGGACTGGTAGTTCCAGAGATTAGCACGTTTAAACAAACAAAAACCCTCTTCTGCTTTATTATATTAGTATAGATGTTGCATCGTGTTCGTGTAACTTCGTTTTTATTCTAACGGTTCGGAACACCGTACGAACAAGACATGCGTGAATACTAGTGTCGATATGCTCATCACTGATACTATCTCTGTCGGGCACGATGCCAGGTGAGACAGCGTGCTTTTTGGCCGCGCCCACCAGCGAGTTCGAGCCCGCGACTTGTGCCACCTTAATTTTATTTTCAAACGTCTATAATAACAATAATAATTATAGGGGTGTAAGGGAGTCAATCGGGGGAACGACTCCAAGCCAACCTGACCTGCACGTAGGGTGCACCACGCTGCCAACTAACGAGGCAATGGCGAACCGACCGATGGCGGTATACCCATCTAAGAGGCTACATAGGGCTCTTAGGCACAAGTGCCTTATCGAGGCTTAGGTAGTGCAATTGACATTAGCGAGGGATGTCAGTTTTAGGGCGGCGGCGGAGGAGTATTTTGCATACCAACGGTGGCGCCCATAGGCTCAATTAGGAAGTCTACTGCGACTCATCACTATTGGACAAACGTGGTGGGTAACTATTGTCCAAAAAAAAAAATATGAGTAAAAATAAGTATAACATGCCCCTAGTGCCCGGCTTACGGGGCCAGATGAATCTCCGGGCGGGGATCTCTCGCAAATATCAAACGACCAATGCTAGTCTCTCGGACTCCGATGCTTCTGAATCGATTTCTTCATCAACAGCTACGGATGTTGTGCAGAAGGCAAGCGCCGATAACTCTGCACCCGCCAAAGCTAATAAATGTGCACGCAGGAAATGGAGTGAGGATATGAATATCTTTATACTGCGCACATACCTTATTATTACATCTATGGAAACCAAAAATATTAGGGCATACCTTCCCCAACTTCATGCAAAATTTATAGAAAAGTACCCAGATATGGATGTTAGCAGACAGCGAGTAGGTGACCAACGTAGGGCAATAACTAACGGTAAATTATTAACAGCTGAACAAGTTCAAGTAATACGTGACGAAGTGAAAACCTACTTAGACAATAACCCTAACAATGAGCACCCACAAAGTAATAATAAAGTAACCGGTAACCAAAGAATGCACTGGGATAATGATTTAAATGAATTCATCATAAAAAGTTTCTACAGAATTACTACAGTCGGGACAAACAAAACTGTTTACAGACAAACAAAACTGCTTAGCGGCGAGCCAAAACAAGTGCCTTTTATACAGACCGATGATGCAATCGCTCTCTACCTAAGGAGCGAGCGACTGCTCATGCGATAAAACATGCGACCAATCACCGCTGGACTTACGCAGCCGTTTGTAAAATTAAGAACAAACCGCCGCGCAACGCCCACCCTCCAACCACGCAACCAATCGCCGATCACCGTGAGGGTGACAAACGACCATATTGCGAGGCTCTCTATTATTAGAGAGCAGGCTTGAAGATATTTAAGAGAGGTGAGTTACTAACTCTACGAAACTATCAAATAACCATCGACTCCTACATAATACATATATTATAAGATTCTTCATGAGACTGAATCTTTAACATTTATCACAACATATCACAAAATTTTTATAGTAACGAGTATTTGCAGCATCTCTACAAATAACACATATCTTGTGAATTAATTCCTTTCACGGGATTGGAGCAAAAAAACGAGAACGAAAGCAATAAGTAATACTTCGAGTATATTCCAAGCAGAAATGAACTGGATTTCATAAGATATATTTTTGACAAATGTTGTAAATATGAGCATCGGCAGTATAAAATCGGCATTTCGTATAATTGGCCTTACTTTCAGTTCTGGTCTTAGCAGTTACACGTGGTAGAGCTACATGTTGCAGCGATAATTGAGGGTAGATTTGTGTATACAGGCCTTTCCTTTAAATCATTTCCTTTCTTTCTAATTCTCTAAATTTTGTTATGTTCCAGTTTAGAATAATGTCTAAAACATCCTCTTACCTTTAACTGCTGAAAATCGGAACATCGCGTTAACATTTCTACCACGTAGCCTTGAGTCATAGATTTGCGCACCATAGAGTTGAAAACCTCCATCGTCTCGCGTGTTATGTAGTAGTGACTGGCTGTGCGTCCAAGATCTGCAAAGAGTGAATTATCCGGTTTCAATAAAAAAGAAAACGGCGACAGGGGGAAAAAAGCCAAGATCGGCTTGACCCATTCGCGTTACAACTATAATAAAGCTACAGCATGGCTCTATCACGTGTACATTCTCATTTACATTATTTTTTGGTGAATCACTCCAATAGCAGACAGAAAACCTACCAGTGATATTGAGATCGCCGGTGCGTTCGTTGTAACGCAACATTAGAGTGCGGTCAAGTTGCATGGCGGCCGCAGTAATCAGCTCGCGTCGCTTCGTCTCCAGCATCGGTTCTTCTTGCACGTCACTATACGTCAGTCCGTACACCTGCCAACATGACACGTGAAATATACAAAAATTGTGGAAAATGAAATTTAAAATGAAAAACAATGGCTTAGAATATTACTTTTTCCATAAATAAAGTATTATATTGTAAGAATGTTATGGAATAAATTCTTGCAAATTATTACTCTAATTAACTCTATTAAGGCCTCAGTGCACAAACTCTTTACTACTCTCTACTAACTAGTAACTCCAGAGTAATAATATTAAATATGCCTGATAGGTGACAGCCTGTTATTTACGTGGCTTTTTCAAGTTTTTTAGGATGCTTATGTTGATGAGTATCTGATGAGCTGTGATGTTGACGATGACTATTCAAAAACTGTTTCGGAATATCTAAAACGAGTATATGGTATTATGGTATAACACACCCGAATACACAAGGTGTACAGCTATTATTACGATCTCCATGTTTTGTTTACCTGTGGATTGATCCTCATTCGTACGAATAGATATGTGTAACTTAACCACTCTACGGCTTCGTCTATGTTAGTGACCGTCCCGAGAGCGACCTGAAACAAGAAAATGTAAGTCTTTTAACACCTGACTAAAACGGGACTAGCTGTTTCAAAACTCTAAAGTTGATTAAATAAAAACGTAAAAATAACACAACTAATGAGTTAGGTTGCAGCTTTTTTAAGAATATAAAACTTAACAATGTTAAAATAACATATATTAACTAGAAATGTTATAGCTTAAGAAATTTCACGTCTGTTCAATAAATTTTTCGTCCCTTTTATTTGAGAACCTTCAAAAACAGTATTAGGAATATAACATTAGGATGTAATAAAAAGGTGGTAAAGCAATAGTACCAGCAAAACGCTACCTTATTATAGTAATTTCTCTCTAAATCAGGGATTCCCAAACTATTTTGGCCAAGAGACCTCTTTTCCAAAATGAACTGATACCTCAGACCATAGCCAAGTTACTTTAAAAATCCTATTTCTAGTTTTTTCCCTATTGATAGAAAATACTTACCAATTTAAAATTTTTGCAGTTGGTTAAATGAGTAAACTTGACATTATTTTCTCATCAAAATTTAACGAAATAAATGGACATAAATTTCAGTAAATATGAGATGTAATTAATAAATAGTTTATGTTGATTAGTCAATCAATTTAAGTACACGCGAGTACTAGAAGAATATAAAAGTAGTAATGCTTCATTGAATAAACCCTTCTCGTGGTATCTTTTTGGCTCCACAAGCTGCTTGTTTCACTCTAAAATGCCTAAAATAGAAAATTCTTAATAATCAAAATATGAGTTTTACCTCCGCATTCAAATTGTCAGCTAGCAGATTAATAAAGTTGCTTTCAATCGGGAACTGGTTGGTCATAGATTTCAAGTAGTGTGTCAGCTTGTCGTGGGTGGTGATGATGATGCCAGTGCCAGACGTGTCGAACTGAGGCCGACCGGCGCGACCGAATATTTGCAGCACGTCCAAAATACTCAAATCTACGAATGTACCGTGGCTCTGGTCGTAGATTTCCGTGCCCTGGAAAAAAATATGGAAAAGTTTGAACTATATGATCTAAGCTTAAAAAGTACTGTGCGCAAATTAAGAATATGATTGAATTTACTGACTACTTCACTCGTCAAACATTTCAAGGGTTTTATTTAGCTTTTTGAACAATGTTTAATTTGTTGTTATTATGGAATATCGGAATCTTCAAATTTGAGATTTAATATTTGGATGGCCACTTAAAACGAGTTTCGTAGTGAAGTGATTAATAGCCGCGGCACTCTCTATTTTGCCTAGGTCTTGAAATACCGGTTGAATAGTGAAAATGTTACTCAGACAACGTGTTAACGGTAAATCTAAATAACGTTAAACGTAATTATATCAATAACTTTAACAGTAATTGGTAACATTATGTACGTTGTTTTTGCGGGGTTGACGACGTACGTATTAACAGCTACGACGAGTACGTGGTTAATCAACGACAGTGTAAACTCTTTATAAAAAGTTTTTCTATAAAGAGTTTCGTTATAGAGAGTTTTTGTTACGAGTAGTGAACAAAAAATGAATAGTCAAATTTCACTTATGACAATGAATTTTAATATGTATTAAAATTGCTTTTTATATTTAATAATGTAACTGTTTGTTAACGCAAATAAAATAAAATATTTAGAATTACCCGTATAATAACGGCGTGCGCTGGTAGGTTGACACCCCACGCCAACGTGGACGTGCAAACCAATACTTTTATATAGCCCTCGGCAAAATACTTTTCAACCATATTTCTGAAATCATTATTAATTAATTCAAAGATGTATTATAATAACTAACAAATCCTATCTTTTTTTACTGCCTCATTGGTCTTGTGGTCGTCAACGCGGTGGTTGTTCAAGGGCTCGAATCCCGGAAAAAAATTCAGTTATTGAGTTTTCCTGTCGAGAAATTCTCACTAGCAGCCCGGAGTAAGGAAGTTGGCGACGTTTCATCATCATCATTATTATTACAGCCCTTCACAAGTCCACTGCTGAACATAGGCCTCCCCCAAAGAATGCCACAAAGCACGGTCCTGAGCCACCTGCATCCATCGACTTACTGCATGTATTACCAGGTCGTCACTCCATCTCGTGGGGGGACGCCCTACACTTCGCCTACCGGTACGAGGCTGCCACTCAAGAACCTTTCTTCCCCATCGGTTGTCGGTTCTTCGAGCTATATGGCCGGCCCATTGCCACTTCAGCTTACTAATCCGTTGGGCTATGTCGGTTACTCTGGTTCTACTGCGGATATCCTCATTCCTAAGTTTATCACGCAGAGAAACTCCGAGCATAGCCCTCTCCATAGCTCGCTGAGCGACCTTGAGCTTCCTCATCCGGCCAGCAGTGAAGGACCACGTCTCAGTTCCGTATGTCATCACTGGCAACACGCACTGGGTGTACAGTCTCGTTTTCAAGATTTGAGGTATACCTGTCGAGAAGATGTGCCGTAATTTCCCGAACGCTGCCCAACCGAGTTGAATCCGTCGATTGACCTCTCGGTCGAAGTTGGACTTACCTAATCGGACTATTTGTCCCAGGTAAACATACTCGTCAACAACTTCGAGCTTAGTGTTCCCAACAACTACCGGCATAGGTGTGACATGGACATTAAACATGATCTAAGTTTTGTCCATGTTCATCTTAAGACCTATCCGTTGGGAAACACTATTGAGGTCATTGAGCATAGTGCTTAGGTCCTCCAGGGATTCTGCCATAAGTACTATATCGTCGGCAAATCGAAGGTGAGTGATGTACTCGCCATTGATGTTGATACCGTATCCTTTCCAGTCCAGAAGCTTGAAAACGTCTTCCAATGCAGCGGTGAAGAGTTTCGGGGATATGACGTCACCCTGTCTTACACCTCTCTGCAATTGGATAGGTTTCGTACTCTGGTTCTGTACTCGGATAGCCATCGTAGCCCTACTGTACAAGCACTTCAACACTTCGATATACCGACAGTCAACTTGGCACCGCTGAAGGGACTGCAGCACCGCCCAAATTTCGACGGAATCAAAGGCTTTCTCATAGTCCACATACGCCAGACATAGTGGCAAATTGTACTCTTCGGACTTCTGTACAACTTGCCGAAGGGTATGTATGTGGTCTATGGTGCTAAAGCCCTTTCGGAAACCGGCTTGTTCGGGAGGCTGGAAGTCGTCAAGTCTGCGCGCGAGACGATTCGTAATGACTCTCGAAAACAGCACGTAGACGCGGCTCAGAAGGGAAAGCGACGTTTCACTTCTGTCGAATTGCTGTCCCGTCGGTCAATGAGAGTGAGGGAATAACGCGTGCACCCGTGCTTGCGCAAACACTTGGGCACTATAATCCTGTCCTGCGCAGATGACTAGTCTCCGTGGAGACTGGCCACCGTGATTGATTTTTTTATAGAATAAGGGTGACAAACGACCACACAGTCCACCTGATGGCAAGTGGTTGCTGTGGCCCATAGACATCTACATCTATCCTTGTTTGCGAATCAAAATGTTGTCACCCGTGAGGACTAAGATGGAATGCCTCGTTTCCAGTAAAAAAGGGTCTCCGGTTCTCTACACTCACCATACGAAACACAGCAGCATTAAGTTGCTATTTTACGCTGGTATTCTGTGAGAACGGGGTCCTTCCCCAATCGACTCGATCTATTCATGCTATAACTATATAATTAATATAGCTGCAGCATGGCTCTACCACGAAAAAAAGGATATTATTATGAAATCTTACGTTTTATGTGTGCCCTGAGAAAGACTTACTAACCTATTTAGCATGAAACTCATAACTTTTCATACACTCTAGTCTTTAGGAGTGCACAGCTGGACGTAGACCCATTTAAGAATGTAAAGCTGACAAGTATTACTTGGAGGCTTTGCTAATACTCACCGCACTCGGCAGGCGGGGTTGAGCACAGAGTCAGTATCTTTTTTTATAAAACTGAAGTGACAATTGATCTTACAGTCCACCTGATGGTAAGTGGGTGCTTCAGTCCATAGACACCTGCAGCTAACTGTAAAGAAAGAACGCTACAGATGCATTGTCAACACTAAGGACTCAGATGGAATACCTCTTTTCCAATAAAATAGCTCTCTGGTTCTCTACACTCACCATACGAAACACAGCAGTATCAAGCTGCCATTTTACGCTGGTATTCTGTGAGATTGTGGCGGCAGAAACTTGGTTTCTACCCAGACAGACTCCTAGGCAGAAAATAAGTCCATCTAGTCCTTCCTTCCTTCATTCTAGTCCATCCTTGCACTGGTAATCCTATTGCTATAGCCACAAATCTGTGGAATTTTATTTAAGAGTTTTTACCACGAATCTATCGCCAGAGCCTTGTATATCAATTAGCAGAGAGCAGAACGTAAGGTTTTTGAAAAAATTATCTCATTTTCATGCCTAACCCCCTTTCTGGGCTACGAGCTATAGGCAGTGATTAATTGCAGCATGACAATGCATATTTTTTCCACATTAAAGAGAAATCAGAAAGCTTCAAAAATAGGAATATGTACTTACCTGTCACTCCTTAACATGCCAGCGTGATGGCATGCGAACCCACTAGCAAATAACTCCGCTAACTGTTTATTAGGGCTGCTACTGATTGATTTTTTTGCTTTTAAAAACCCTCCCGAGTCCTCCGGCTCGAAATACTTTAAGTGGCCTTTCTTTTGAGCAATCTCTTTGAGGACCATTGCAGTTTGATGAGTTGCGTTGCGTGCGTGTACGAAAACCATCACTTGGTGACCTTTCTGAACCATGTCAACTGCTTTGTCGTAACATACTTCATTCATAATTTGCATCTAAAAATACATAAATACATTTTACATAACGTGCTTATATATGAGATGTATGTATTGACGGGCATAAGTTGCATGCGTACTATAAAATTCCAACGTAAAAACTAAAGTAAAATTTCTGAAAAAGAAGCCTACATAAGATGCGTGTCAATTGTCATTGAGGAAAAGAATATGCGTTGTTATCCTTGAAGGATAAGATAAAATGCCGCATAGCCATTAGTACATAGTAACATTACTGGTTTTCTTATTGGAAAACAGATGTGCGGGCACTGTTGTTGTTTTTATTATTCGCTCGAGAGAGCAGGCAAAGGAACTAAGCCATACAGCCGTGTCTTTTTTATTTTGAATATATAGAATTTTAATGTGTAAAGGCCGGAACCAAGTCTTATTTTTCTTCTTTCCATCTCTTCAAAATCCATAAAGGCTAAAGCCAAATCTTCTTTATATTATAATCTTTGTAAGTTTCAATCCGTGTAGATTTGTCAATCCAGTTAAATATTATATGTTCTGCAGTCTGATCTGCTTATGTATCGCAGAAGTTGCATGTTGCAGATGCTACTATTCTCATCCTGGAAAGATGAGCGTTCAGTCGATAGTAGCCAAATCTAAGTCTGCATATTATTGTATAAAATTTTCTGCTATGATATCTCTCGTTGCGAGAAAACCAAGGAATACTTAATTCTGAATTAATTGATGCATACCAACGACCTTTTCCTGCCTCTAAAACAGCATTCCATTGCATTTTCCATTCTTCTTTTAACTGTTGCTTTAAAATTGAATATAAATCTGTATGTGGTATTGCAACACCGGTTATCCTGTCAATATCAGCTGTAACTATACTTTTAGCTAAATGGTCTGCTCTTTCATTTCCTTGAACCCCAATATGTGACGGAGTCCATAAAAATTTTACTTCCAAATTATTTTCTTTCAATTTCCACCACAAACTTTTGATTTCATATATGATGAAAGACGTTTAAGCATCTAAAGCTCTTGCCTTCAGTGCCTTCAAGACACTCATGCTATCAGAGATCAGTAACCATTTATTAGATACATGTGGGTGTTCTTCTATATATTTAAGAGCGATTAAGACAGCATAACATTCTGCAGTGTATATGCTTGCTGATGCAGGAATGGAAAGGCCACGTCCAGTTTTCAGATGAGGTATGTAAAATGCACAGGCTACTTTATTTTCAACTTTTGAACCATCTATGTAAATTTGTCGATATTCATTATATGTAGATATAAGTTCATAAACCTCTTCTTTTCTTTTCAATTTTTCATTAATATTTATGTGTATATCACTGAATTTACTTTCATAATTCCCCTTATAACAAGGCCAAGTATGTGTGCTTTTGTGAATATTATATTATATATTCATCACATCGTATCACTTCATGAAAGCCATGGAGTATATATGGGGCTGAGTTAGATATAGGAGACATACTATTATAGTAAAATAATACTTTTTGAAAAAGAGGATGATGAGACAAAGAATTAATATTTAATAAAAACCTAAATTTCAGATATTTAAACCTAAGTAAGATAGGAGGAGTAAGACATTCAGCCTGTAAAGAAATAATAGGAGTTGTTCTCATAGAGCCGATAATAAGTCTTAAATTCTTATTTTGTATATTATCTAATTTGTTTACTAGTTTTTTATTTGATGCAAAACAAAGGAACCCATACTCAAAATGGCTCCTCACCAAAGACTTAATATGACATTAATAATGTTTCTGGATCAGCTCACCAGTTAGTACTAGCCAAAGCTTTTAATATATTAAAGACCTTAGAAGCTCTGTCTGTAATAGAATTCACGCATTTGGTCCAAGATAAATTATTTGTAAAAATTACACCTAAGAATTTTATATTGGTAAAAATGTATTATTATAAATTATTCTAGTGTTAAATGGACGAATTTTATTAAATATTACAACTTTACTTTTCTCAGTACTAATATCTAAATTTAAGTATGAAAAGTAAATGTGCAATTTCTTTAAAGCCTCATTTAAAATGGTTACCAAGTTTTTGACATTTGTTCCTGAGGCATATATGACCAAATCATCTGCATATTGAAAATTAGTAACATTTGATCCTAAAATATTGTTTAATTTAAATATGTATAAAATAAAGATAAGAGGACTTAATATTCCTCTTTGACAAACACCTTTATAACTCAGCCTAGGACCAATAATTGTATTATTATTATTAACTTTAGCAAAAACTCTTCTTTCATGTAAAAAGTTAAATATCGATTTTACAATTTTTTCAGGAATGGCCAAAGACCACAACTCTGCGGCGAGTACATGAAGATTAACGTTATTAAATGCACTAACAATGTCAAAGAATATACTAATTAATGTTTCATTATTTTCCATAGCTTTAAAGATGTCTAAATGTAGAAATGCAATACTTTCTCTAGATGACTTACGGCGTCTGAATCCAAACTGATTTGATGGTAAAAGACAATTTTTTTTCTAGATAAAATTCTACAGCAACTTATAAAATCTAGATGATTTTATAAGTTGCTCAAATATTTTACCCATACAAGATGTAAGTGCTATAGGTCTGTAAGATTCTGTAATGTGAGGTTTTTTTCCAGGCTTTAAAATGGGTATCAAACAATCTTCTTTCCAATCGTTAGGAATAAGTGAATGAAACCATAACATATTATATATTTTCAAAACTAGGTCTCTACACGCAGTATTCATATTTTTTAAAGCTTTATATGGAACAGAATCTAAACCACAAGTAGTGTCTTTTCTAGAGTTAACAGCTGAATTGAATTCGGTCAAGGTAAAAAGTTTGGTAAGATAATCACAATGATTATCATTTGAGGAGTGAGGGGTTAGAGGTGATTAATCTGTTTCTGGAGTATATTTTTTCAAAAATTCACTAGCCCAATTAGAATCTATGACAGATGTGTTATTATGAACTTAAGTTTTGTTAAATTTTTTAATGTAATACCATATTCTAGTCAATGGAGTAGATCTATTAAAAGTTTCACATAGTTTTTTCCAGCTTTCAGTCTTCAAAGTAATTTTTTTTACAGCTTGTAGTCTTTTAAAATTAATATAATTTCGTTCTGTGGGATCATTCTTAAATACTAAATATGCATTTTTACCATTTAATACTGCCTATTTGCATTTTAAATTTCACCAAATAGAGAATTTTTTTTAAATTCTTTTAAAAGATTGCAAGTTGATGTTAACATTTCGATTAGAAGACTGATTGGATGGTGTGGATTCATGCATGGCTTGTTTAACTAGTTCTAAGTCTGTTTTTTTTTTTATAGGAGTGGGGGCAAACGAGCATGCGGCTCACCTGATGGTAAGTGACTACCGCCGCCCATGAACAAAGATGAACATAACATTGTAAAGGATTACTATAATCAAAACTATAATTTTTAATTAAATTATCTATTAAATTTGGATATTTTGACCAATCTACCAATTTTATGTTATTTGATACAGCTGTTTCTTGAAAATTTTGACTATCGACCGTAATTTTTGTCTTTACAGGAAAATGATAGCTGCCTAGAGAATCATCATCACATACTTGCCACTCACAAGACAGAGCCAGTGAAGATGAAACAAGTGTCAAGTCTAATGCATTCTGCCTCCATCTATGAGATTCTACTGTAGTCATTTGACCATCATTCAAGATTACAAGATTGTTGTCATTTATACTTGCAAGAACGTCCCTACCTCGTGAATCTAATTCAATACATCCCCATAACGTGTGATGGGCGTTGAAATCACCAGCTATAAAGACTGGCTGTGGCAAACTTTGGATTAAACAATCTAATTTGCATTTATTATAATTAATTGATGAATTAGGGGGACAGTAAAACTAACTAAAGTTAATAATTTATCATTGTATTGTATTTGTACAGCTATATTTTGTAATGAGTCATCAGAGAATGTATTGATAACACGAAATCCAATTTTATTATGTAGAAGTATTGCTACTACATTGTGATCATTACCTGAATCTAATCGTATAATATTATAACCTTTTGCTCTAAAATTGTGCCTAGGTTTAAGCCAAGTTTCACATATGAGAGCAACATCTATGGTGTTCTCATATAAAAATTGTGTAAATTGAAAGCAATGTTTAATTAAACTCTGTGCATTCCATTGTAAAATGTTAAACTGATCCATAAAACATCAAATGTTAAATAATGAAATATCTATTTTGGTTTCATTGTATCTATGAGAACATCTTTAATAAGCTGAGAAGATATGGTGGTTTGTTCATTTGATTTATTAAGACGTAATACTTTAATGACTATATTTAAAATTATATTAATAATGTCATCATTCTTTAGCAGTGATATAAGAGCATCTTTAGGATTTTTTTTTGTTTAATTCGGGGAATTCGTTTTTATTAAAAAGGTCTACAAACGAGGTTTTGTGTAATTTAGCCTGATTTTCTTTTATCTTTTGTTTCTTAACAGGACACTGTCCAGAAATGCTTAGATGGTTTCCTTTGCAATGTATGCATATCGCTTTATCTGAAGAGACTTGGCAATCTTTGTAGCTGTGATTTTCAGTACAAATTGAGCATTTCACAGAATTTTTACAGTACTTTGCTTAGTGGCCATACCTCAGACAGTTGTAACACTTCTTCACTGGTGGAATATACTGATTTACCACGAACCGCCAACCATGAATATCGACGTAGTCCGGCAAAACATTAGAAGCGAACGTGATGGCCACGGTGCCCGTCGGCTGCAGCAAACTGCGTCCTGCGTCATTCTTATGTTTCCTCATTATCCTTTTAACACATATTATCTTCCTGTAAGTCGTTAATATACCAAAAATTCTTGAATTAGAAAGATTGGTGGGAACATTAGTTATGACTCCTGTTATTTCTGTCCCTACAGCTGGGATAGATGCCTTCATTTTGTATTCATTAAGAAATGTAATATTATTTAAAAATGCATTCGCTAGAGAGGGCTTTTCAAAATGAACGCTTATTTTGTATTTATTCATAGATTGCAAATATTTAATGCCTTTATTGAACCTCTTCATATGTGTGGACAGAGACAACATGTCCCGCGTGCCGATTGGCCTTCTTTCATCATTTGATTTGACAAAGACAAGAAAATCAACGAGGACAGAGTCCTCAGGGTACCTCCTGTTGTAGTCAGATACAAAGTACGGCTTATACTTGCGCTTCTCTTTCTCAGGATCTTCCTCAGTACTGGTATCAATTAATTCCTCCTCAGTCGTTTCTTCAAATACTTTTTCTTCTCCCGGCAACTTTTTTTTTCTACGTTTCCCCATGATGAGGAAATCCAGTAACAATAAAACAATAAAAGTTTAGTGCCCTTTAACTAAACAAAACAAAATTAAAATTTTAGTTTAAAAAAAGGCGCCTATCACGTTTCAAGGTTCCCGTGCTTCGGGCACTGTTGCTTGGCGCTAGGACTTTTGTTTATAACTTGCTTTATGGCTCTGGGTTCTAGTCCTTCTGAGCCTCTCAGTATCAAGTGATAATAATCTTTTAGAGTACACTGTTTCACAACATGTTGATGCGACACACTGCATCTGGGAGATTTTGACGGCAACTTGAGCCAGAAAACAGTTGACGATAGTATTTCAAGGCACCTAAGCAGACAGACACCTTATCTTGAGAGCCACATCACCATAGGAGCACTTGTTTCACCGTTTCTACTAATAGTTCACATGTGTAGAGATTTAATACACAAAATCGCACCACTTTTACATATCAAAATCCAATTCAAACCATTATTTAAACAATGATACAGGAGCAGCAATCCGCCGCCGGTCAAGTTTCCGTCAAAACGTCATTGGCGCTAGGATTAGATACTAAGGGTGTATTCCGATATTCCCTACGAGCACTACTCAGTGCTCTCACCGGTTAAAAATTCATTCCGTTATGGACTGCCAGTATACTACCACAGTACCCTAGGGAAATATATGACGTCATAAAACGCCGCCATTTTTGTACTGTGAGCACAGGCGCTTTCGAGGTAAGGTGCTCTCAGTACTTTGATCACGTGATCAAATAACATAACAGCGCCTAGAGATTTAACAGCTTCCAAGAATGATTGTTATTATTATTACTTAATTTTGTTATTAAAATAAATTCGAACATTAAGTTTTAAAAGCAACAAGATTCACATAATATTTTTTGCTGAACAGGAAATATGTACATGATAAATATTTTCATTTGAAAACGATGTCGAAAAATGGGGGTCAGTATACTGGACTGCGTTCCGTTTTAAACAGTAACCAGTATAGCAAACTAAAAAGGAACGGCTTCACTGTATACTGAATGACTTACGTCACACCTTACTGTGGTTAGTGTATATCGGAACACACCTTCAGTTACTAAGTTCTACTGGATGTTATACAATCTTAAATACCTCCATATAATTTAAACATGCATTTATTATACCTGTCTAAGATGTGCGCCTCCACCACTGCCAACTTCCTTCACTCCGATAAATTGTTGCTCCAGGGGTACAGGACGGAATCGAGAATCGAAGAAGAACAGCCCTATGTTTGGATTCACGCGCAAGAATCTAGGAAACAGAAATATTTTAAATGAGAACTTTTATTATCATTACCACAGTAATGCTTACTTGCAAAATTGTGAAAGGCTTCGTGGAAATATACGTAATAAAGCCATGCTGCTGCTATATTATGGTTGTAGTACGGATGGCTCGGCTCAACCGTTTACTAGCGTAAAATAACAGCTTATTACTATTGTGTTTCGTATGGTGAGTGTAGAGAACCGGAGACCCCTTTTACAGGAAACAAGGCATTTTATCTTAGGCCTTAGGGGTGACAACACATCTGCATTTTGATTCTTATTCGAGGATAGATGTAGATGTCAATGGGCAACAGCTACCAATTACCATCAGGTGCACTGTGTGCTCATTTGTTAGCCTTATTCTATAAAAAAAAGATATGATTTAATGTTAACCCTTTCGCTGTCCCGTGCACTACGTATATGTCATTGGTATTATCTTATTACTATTGTGTTCGAAACCCGGACAGTGAAAGTGTTAAGTAAAGGCGGTGTAGGATGAATTCATAAACATCTACTCTTTTTTTATATGTTGGTTTTTTATTTTTATATTAATATCGTCGACGTATTCCGATCGGTTTATGTCATAAAAGTCGCCAATACATGGCTGGATCAAATATTTCAATATGCCATAAATAATATATCTAAGCGAAAAGTTGTACCAAAGGTGCGAGGAGTTTGCTACTACAGCTGACAATTAGGTTAGTAATAGTGACGTTGGTGACATATCCATTAAGTTGGAGAAAGATATTTTTAAATTTACGTCAATTTATTCGGATCCTAATGCAATCATAAGAATAGCTTATGAATGAACAAATCGTTTTCAATGTCTGTTCTACGGTGGAGAGATCAAGGATATGACATGTGGTATTAAAAGTAAAAAAGCCTATTATTACCTGGCAACATCAACATAGTTTGGCAAGGTAGCAGATAGCTCAACAATCATAAGGATAGCTTATGTATGAACAAATCGTTTTCAATGTCTGTTCTACGGTGGAGAGATCAAGGATATGACATGTTGTATTAAAAGTAAATAAAGCCTATTATTACCTGGCAACATCAACATAGTTTGGCAAGGTAGCAGACAGTCCAACAATCCTTATCATATTCTGAGTTGATTCAACTTGTCGCAACGTTCTCGCTACAATCGCCTCGACGATTGGTCCTCTGTCACCATGTAGTAAATGAACCTCGTCGATTATTAACAGTTTTACTATTGAAGCCAGTTCGGTATCAGCTATAAAAGACATTATTATAAAATACCAGCGTTTTGCTTTAAAAGACAGTATAGTGTGCTAGTGGTCAATTGTCTCAATGCCAATGCATCTTTATTGCCCTCTTTATTCCTTCTCTTCTAGCCGTATGAAGAAGCTGAAAGACACTAAGCGAGCTATGGAGAAGGTGGTTTTATCATATAGGTCATTACACACATTGTTCTGAACACTTTTAAGTGATAAAATCTGTAATGAGGATTAACAAGCCGATTAATGTGAGGATTTCCTATATTAAAAGGCTTTTAGAGCTTCGTTCTCCGTAAAAAAAATATATTTGGTTATTGCCTAAAAAAGAGAACTCGAACATCAAAGTTTTTTCCAAATAACAGTTATTTTTTGAATACATTGCTATTTACAGAAATTTCAATTTTTGAACGTCAAAATTGTGTGTAAATTACCATGTTTTTGTCCAACCTGGCCTTATTAATGATTTCGCATATATACGCGGTGCCGTGTAGTGGCGGTGTAAGAATATCCACTACCCCATATAGTCCTGTGGGTGACGTAAGAGGCGACAGAGAGAAACTGAAACAGGTGATAGGCAGCAGCATCTTCCTGATGGTAACTCAAAATAATAAAAAACTGCGGTAGTCAACTCGCTCGCCAGGCGTGTGAACTACTAGTATGGCAACCCCCCCCCCCCCCTATAGAATGGCGGAAGCCTATGTTCATCAGTGGAATTTTATAGGCTGTAATGAATAATGAATATTTACGTGATTATTCAAGGCAAAAAGACTAAGACTGAGATGTATAGATTAGTACTTTGACTTTGCTCAGACTTTACTTACGAAAAACTTAGCTGAGTATACGCTGAGCATTATCTTTGGTTCTGAATTTATAGTTGTATCGGGCTAAGCTCAAAAAAGCGAGACAGTCAAAAAATTTATGGATGCTTTATTCCACACATTATGTTCTTGATTTTATTGTATAAAAAAATATATTTAAAAATCTAAACCAGTTCAAATTGTAAACTGTATTTCACAAATAAGTTATTATTATATGAAATAGAGTGCAAAATCAGAAAAAATTAAAAAGAAAGTTTTAAGAAATTCGAAATAAGTTTGAAATTACGACAACAACAACACACAACAAGAAATTCAAAATAAGTTTGAAATTACAACAACAACACACACAACACAAACACTCACGCCTGTCACCCAGAGGGGTAGGCAGAGACTACGGACTTCCATTTGGCACGATCCTGACACACCTCTCTCGCCTCCTTTACATCCATATATCTACGCATTCACGCTCGTCGGTTAAGGGTACTCCTAATCTGGCCCATTTTCAATGTGTGGCCGATTTGGTCGATAAACCTCTAGGCGACAAACCGTCTAGGGCGTCCCTTCCCGACTCTGCCGTTCACTTTTGCCAACATAAATTTGCTTTGTCACTCTTTCCTCGTTCATTCTTTCTACGTGAACAAACCACCGAAGTATTCCTTTCTTAATCATGGACACAACGTAAATTACGTGGTTTGAAATTATGTTAATAGAAAATTGATTAATGCTATTTAAAACTAGAAGACAGCCTAAAACTACCTATTTATCGTTATAAATTATTAGAGTAACACAAAAACAACAATTTAAAATGAATACGGTGGTTTCGGATAATATCCTGAGTTTTACGTAAGTCGTCGATTTCGTTGACTTAGGCTTTGCTAAGCGCGTACTCAGTACGACTTTGAAGTTAGCGCTATAAATACCGACGTGGTCTTAACTCGAAAGTAAAGTCTGGGCAAAGTCAAAGTACGGTCTATAGATTTCAGCCTAAGCCTAAGACTGACGATTACGGCAGGGGCTTTAGCCTGAAATGGAAGAGGCCTATGTTCAGTAGCGGAATGTTATGCGCTGGTAAGAAAGGATTCTGATAATGTATGGAGCACATCAATGCTATCGATACAAGATGATAAAAGTAATCAATTACTTCACAAAACTTACTTGCTCCCTTCCGCGTAACAACATCCCACTTTTCGGGCGTAGTGACAATCATTTGTGTTTGTTGAACTTCAGTTTTGGTCAGTTTCATATCACCAGTCAGTTCTCGAACGGAGATGCCTAACCCACGCAGGCGTTTGCCGAAACTGGCAGTCATTTCTGAAGCAAGGGCTTTCATAGGCGCTATGTAGATTATCTGTGTATTATACGATTACAATATGTATTTTCAGTGTGTCACATCGAATCTTCTAAGATTACATTATGGTCCAGTCGCAGCACAAGTATTCTAATCTAAGTTGGAGGCGTTCTTTTTTATATAGAAACATTTTCATTGAAACAAACGAGAAAAATGTACAACTAATGTGAAATTATCATTTAGGTACCTTGAATTTATTTTTCATAATGACATCATTTTCTATATGCTGTTTAATCTGATGCACTACAGTAAGCAGAGCTATATTAGTTTTACCGGCGCCGGTTGGTGCGCAAATGAGTAAATTTTCATTTGTTGTGTATGCTGTTTGAAAGACGACTGATTGGATGCGATTTAATTCCTTGATATTCTCAAAGGCCATTTGGCCAATCTGTAAAAAACATATAATAATAATAATAATTCTTTATTTCCAAAAAAAGGTACATAGTACAACCAGATATTTGCTTAACACTTAATAAAGCTAATTTTGTACATATATTTGAAACAGCATCTGCAGCCGAACTAGGAGACCTGTGCATCAGCTGTCAGCGCCATATCCCCACCGTTAATTTACATGAATATTAGGATGCAAGCAAAAGTTAATTAATTAATATTGTTTAACGAGTTTGTACCTTATGCTAACATAGCCTAGGTACAATGAAATTTAATGGATCACATGTTATGTTCCATATGCTAAGTTATTACTATATATGATATATATAAGGCACAAAAAAGAAAATAATTTATACTAATAATGTCATTCCTCTCTCCTAAGATGTGTAATGTATGACTGTAAGAAGTATTTGTGTAATGAGTGTAATGTGTGTGAGCAATTTAAGGAGTCGAGTGTGTAAAATGTGTGTGTATATGTTTGAGTGTGCGTGTGGGTGTGTGTGTGTGTGTGTGTGTGTGTGTGTGTGTGTGTGTGTGTGTGTGTGTGTGTTTTGATATTATTACTTTTATACGGGTAGCATTGTGTGTGAGTTATATAAGAATTTATGTTTAATTCTGAATACTAAGAAGGTTTTCAGTTTCATTATAATTTAATTTTTGTAGGTAAATCTGTACAGTTTTTTTACAGTCTACTTTATTAAGGTGGTAAATGTCTAATGTTTTATTTAGTTTATTATATAAGTGTGGTCCTAAAAATGCAAAGAATCTTCTTATAAAAGTTGTTTTAAAATTAGTTGTATCTACAGAAAATTTCCTGCGTTTATTTAAGTTCGTTGGGTTGTATAACAATAAACTATGCTGTTTCTGAATGATCGTTAATATAAACAGTTGTCTTACCGTAAGGACCTGACAGTTATCATAAAGTTGTGATGTAGGGTATAGGAAAGGTTTAAATGTTGCCACTTTGAGAATAGCACGTTGAGAGATCTCAATATTTTGTAACACCGTTTTAGAAGCTCCACCCCACGTTGATATGCAGTATGTTATAATAGACTGACATAAAGCTAAGTAAACTCGTTTTAATATATCTGGATCCAAAACGTGTCTAATAGTTTTAAAAATATATATAAGTTTATGAATTCTTCTGCTAAGTGTGTTAATGTGTTGTTTAAAATTTAATTTACTATCAATTATAACCCCCAGATATTTAATATATTCAACAGACTCAAGTGAAAGGCAGGAACAGCTATTGTGTCTTGTTGAGCAATTATATGAATGAATCACTAAGTTAAAATTTTCAAGATTACGACTAGGTTTTCTCAATGAAAAGACTATATATTTTGTTTTCCTAATATTGAGTGAGAGTTTATTACTGTAAAGCCAATTAGTAATTGCATTTATACCTGCCTGTGCTAATAAGAATACATCTGTCCATGTATCCGCCGCAAATATCAGAACAGTGTCATCTGCATATGAAATTATATGTCCCTGAGAGAGATCAAATTTTGTTAAATTGTTAATATAAATAAGAAATAAGGTTGGTCCGAGTATACTTCCTTGTGGCACTCCATGGGTTACTAATAGATCATTGCTATTAATATTATTTACACCAACGCATTGATATCTCTCAGAAAGATAACTTTTAAATAATTTGAGTTGAATGCCTCTGATACCGAGATTTTCTAGTCGTTTTAATAGTATTTTTATTGAAACGGTATCGAATGCTTTGGCCAAATCTAAGAAAACTGAGATACACTTTTTTCCACTATCTAAATTCGATGATATAAAATCTGTAAGAGTATGAACGGCATGCTCTGTCGATTTGCCATGTCTAAAACCAAACTGTGTATTTGACAGTAACTTATTTTTCTCCAGATATTTTGTAAGTCTATTATTTATAATTTTCTCTAAAAGTTTTGACAAAGCAGGTAAAATAGAGATAGGTCTATAATTACTTATACAGGTTTTGTCACCATCTTTAAAAATAGGTCGAATTACGGACTTCTTAAGATATCTAGGGAATACACCATAATTTAGACATTGGTTAAATATGTAAGTTAAAGGAGGTATTAACAAATATTTAAAATTTTTAATAAATATATTTGAAATTCCATCCCAACCAACTGAGCATTCTGTTTTCAAATTGTCAATTAATTGTTCTACTTCACTTTCATCCGTGTCCAATAAAACAAATGAATTTAAATTATAATTTGATTTTTTACCAATGTCACTATTAAAACTTTCACTATTATTATTTCCTATATTAAAACTCTCTGCCAAACTTTTACCTACATTTACAAAATAATTATTTATAAGATTAACAGATAATTGTGGCGTACTGGATATATTCAAAAGTTCTCTGTTATACCCTTTATTTTTCATGTTACCTATAATATCAGTAAGTACGTCCCATAGCTTTTTATTATTATTTTTAGCCATATTCACTCGCTCTTTTTCATAATTTCTTTTTATCTTTTTTAGCAGTGCGTTACAGTGATTACGATATCGTCGGTATATAATTTGATCACTTTCACTCTCTGGAAAACGTCTGGCCCTCTTATGTAGTTTATCACGGTGACGAATACATCTAAGAAGTCCAGTCGTAATCCAAGGTTTGATGATCTTTTTTTGTCTTGGCAACTTTATTAATTTAGTATTAACTTCAATGACTGTTTGTATTTTATTAACTAAGTATTCAAGAGAAGTATTTGGATCTTTAACATCATATATGGGTGAAATGTCAATGTTTTGCATATCTAAACGAAGTTTATCATGATCAATTTTTCTGATAGTAGTTGTAAAAAACTGTTGACGTTGTTTCTTTTGAATACATAGAATTACAGGTTTGTGATCAGTAATTGATGTTTGAGGAACCATAGTAAGTGAAGGATTATTCGTTTTTAAAAGAACATGATCAATACACGAACCGCTCGCGTCACGTGTTACTAGAGTATGCGTAGGTAACAACCCATGGAATGCTGTCAATTGCAAATACTTATCGGAATTAATATCTGTTTTATCACTCTTAATGTTAATATTTATATCTCCTATTATAATTATGTTTTTATGTTTCGAATATTTCTGTAGTACTCTATCTAAAGAGACAAAAAAGCTTTCTAAGTTTTTATATGACGGTGACCTATATATTGATATTATGACAATATCATTCAATGTTGTTATCATACAATTCCCTTCTTGAAAATGAGGCTCTTCAGCCGTGAACAAATGTTTTTCTTTTATATATATTACTAATCCGTCATTCTGGTTATTATTATAATTGGTGGAGCATAAATTATAACCATTAATTTTAGGTAAGTTGTCCTTATTAAGCAGCCAGCATTCACTTAGTACAATAACATCAAAATCTATTTTTAATCTAGTTAACAATACTTCAAAATCTGTCATATTGCAGTTAATACTTCGTATATTCTGTGTAATAATTGTGAAGTTGGATTCATTAGATGACAAGTACTTATAACAATCTTCAACGTCACAAACTATCGATTTCGATACCGTAACTTTATCTAAGTTAATGGCGAAACTTTGAGCGTTATCGCCTTTTATTTATATTTATTATTTTAAATTTCTCTAACAAAATCGCATTATTGATTAAATAATATCTTTTATTATATAAATTAATTGAAAAATGTAACTGTAAGTTGCATATATGAAATGAGTGAATATGGTTTATTGTAAAATATACGTGTAATTTAAAATATGATTGTGTTAGTTGTAATGTAATGAAAGTATGTGTGCATAATGTTTGAATTTTGTTTGTGTATTGTGTGTAAACTGTGACTATGTGTATTATAAGGTATAAGGTTAAAATAAACTTTATTCTTACTATTATAGTTAAAAAGAAAAGAAAGGATGCGAAAAAATCGAATCTTAATCTTAATACTAGTCATTCGGTCTTCCGTAGATTTTCTAAATCTGTTTCATTATTTATTCTAATTTGAGAAGAATTTTCATTCTTGCGTATGTATACAATACCTCTAGATGTCCAGCAGAATAAATAGTTATGATTTTTCTGGAAAATTCTGGCTTGATAGAACAGTTTTTGAGTATTTTGTGTTAACGTCTCCGTGACATATATGGGGATGTTTTTTTGTGAGTAATTTAAATGCGAAGTATTTAATTTCTCACTTTTTGGTTTCGTTTTATTAAATCTTTTTACTTCATTTAACATCTTTTCTTTAATGATGACTGAATTGAATTCCACTATAACCGGTCTAGTCCCTGTTTTAGAGTAAGTTCTATACACGTCTTTTATGTCCGAATCCTGCAAATTTACATTCAAATACTTCCCTAATTTTTTTACAGTGCTACATAGATTTTCTTTTGTTTCTTCATTGCTTTTAGGTATGTTTCTTATTTCTATTCCTGAACATCTAGACTTTCGTTCCATATTTTCTATTTTCTCTTGTAGTTGTTGTATAATATATCTATCCTGCTTTTTTTCTGCCTCAAGAACAGATATCCGTGATAAAAACTCATCATACTTGCTTGACATAGTATCAACGCTCTTTTTTAATTCATCGTTCTGTTCCTTTATACTAGAAACTATAGTTTGTAAATCTTTAAAAAGTTTTGCTTGTTCATTCGTATAAACTGAAAACATTTCACTCGTATAAGACATAATATTAGGATTCATTCCGTCATGTTTCCTCTTTTTACGCTCGGTGACATTTAACGTAAGCGATGGAATATCAGGCGCAGATTCACAATGAAGTATCGTCGTCCGTTCCATCGCGTCGATTGCGCGCGTATGCGGTGTATCATCGGAGCTCATAGGCACGGGCGAGGCGGGCGGCGGCGTGCGGTTGATCGGCATTGTATACCCAACCGGTTTTGAAGTAAAAGACGCCTCAACGTTTAATTATCAGGGCAATATGAGTTAGGAAGTGTGAACACAATGGATTTGCGAACTCGTACCCGTAATGCAACCGTACAAATAAAAATATAACCGTCTCTTTTCTTATTGTGTTGCAAACGTGT